TGAGAGGGTGAGTGTATGTGAGGGGGTGAGTGCATGTGAGGAGAGGAGGGGGTGAAAAAGTGTATAAAGGGTATCTTGGTCATTTAGTATTTTAAGACTTTAAGGTGGCGTTTGGTTCGTAGGATGTTTTTGGATGGAATGGAATGGAATCTATTAAAGTAATTTGACTTTGAAGGAATTGGAATGGAATGTTGTCAGGTTTGACCACCTGTTTCGTTGACAGACATTGGTAAATGACCAAAATGCCGTTTTTTGAAAATTTTAATTTTTTAAAACTAAAAATACTTTAATAAAATAATTATTTAATATGTAAAAAAATATAAAATGCACAACCCAAATATAATCATAAGCCAAACGAAGTTACTAAATCGACGGTGGTCGGTGGTGGTTCAGATCGATGGTGGTCCACAGTGGTTCAGATGGTGGTGGTCCGCAGTGATTCAGATCGATGGTGGTCTGCAGTGGTTCAGATGGAGGTGGTCAGCGGTGGTTCAAATAGGTTGTGGCGGCGGTGGTTGTTCAAATCGGTGGTGGTCGGAAGTATCCGACGATGATTCAGATCAATGGTAGTCGTCAGTAGTTGGCAGTGATATAGATCGATGGTGGTCCGTTGTGGTTCAGGTGACGATGGTCAGATGTGGTTCATATCGGTGATGGATCATATCGGTGATGGTCAATGGTAGGGGTGTACGCGGTTTGGGTTGGGCGGTTTACAACACTTTTACAATCCAACCCAATTATGGCGGTTTGGAAAAATCTCAACCCAACCCAACCCATTCAAAAGTATAACCCAACCCAACCCTTGCGGGTTGAGGCGGGTTGGGTTAGGTTGGGTTGGGTTGGCGGGTTAGTAGTTACATAAATTTGACGAATGAAATAATTCATAAAACTTAAGTTTATAGACCATACTATAAAGTGTCCTATCTAAAAAAGTTACAATAGGTTTACATGACTTTTTTGGACGCTTCAACAAGTGTTTTAGAATGATATTTAAATCAAATGTCGTATTAGTCATTTTATATAAATATTTTGAGAAGTGTCCCTAAAACTCATCTATTTATAGGAAACCTATGTTCATATATGATATGTGTTGAGAATTTAACACATAAAGCGCTCTTTTTACGTCTTTTTAGTTATAATAATTTCTTTTCATTCCCACTTTGAGTCCTTTTCATTTATTTCTTTATACTTTTGTTATTATGAAGCTAAATGTTGTGGTTGACTTGATGGCATGCAAAATTGAAGCTGATTGAGAGTTTTTGTGAAAACAGCAAATGCTGCAGCATTGGTGCAGCGTTGGCCTGGGTCTTACACGACTTTTTGGAGGGCTTAATGAACAAGACGTTGGCTTTTTGAAGGTGGAATACAGCTGTAAAATGGCTGGATTTTTAGTAGAAAATCAGTTGTACTCTTTAGTTAAGCTTATGTACTCTCTAGTTAAGCTTATGTACTTTTTAGTTGAACTTTGGTTAAGGGTTGTACTTTTTAGTTAAGCTTTTGTTGTAATGTAACTAGTGTTGGTAAACTTAGCCTCCAAGCTTAGTTCTTTGTCTTTTAGTGCCCATTTTGGGTATAAATAGGAGGCTAGGGTTGCCATATTTCATACCCAATTAATCCATAATCCTTTGGATTCTCTCTACTTTTTCTCCCAACTTTTCTTCATTTTGCTTTAAACCCTCTTCAAGGGTGTTCTTCAAGTTCTTCAAGTTCATCTTCATCTTTTTCTTTATTTTACTTTCTTGTCTTTTATTTTCCGCTATTTATTTTCTCGTCTTTTACATTTCCGTCATTTACATTCCGCTATTTACATTCCGTCTTTTATTTTCCGCTATTTATTATTCTCGTCATTTACATTTCCGTCATTTACTTTATTGTCATTTACATTTCCGTCATTTATTTTATCGTTATTTACTTTACGCAATTTACATTTATGTCTTTATTTTCCGTCATTTATTTTTTACTTTCTGTTATGAGTAGCTAAGCTTTTATAGCTTGGGTGTGAGACGGAAAGGTGAGATTTTCAAACCGAACGAAAGTAGCTAAGTGTTTTCGAAAACGACGTTYCATTGTTTCATTCGAGTTTTTATAAAACCAAGCACACTTCTTGACGGGTTGATCACTTGAAAGTGTTAAAGTGCGATGGACTTAGAGATAAGCCATCATTAAGCACGTCAACTTGGATGACATAAGAGGTAGATTTGAGAAAGTTGCCGACAAGGAGACTTGTCATTTATGTTTTTCAAAACGTARCTCCCGACGGGTTGGTCRCTTGTCAAAAGTGTCAAAGTGTGATATATTCAGAGATGAAATATCAAGAACACGCCAACTCGAATGATATGGGAATCGACTCGAGAGAGTGATTTTTAACAAAGAGATTTGTTTATCCATATATTTTGAATACACCATCGTGTCACTATCCCCGGTCCRGACACCACATAGAGATATGTGTGGAAAGCTATAAGATAGTGAAATGGTGAAGTCCGAGAGGAATGCCTTCAAAATAGATGGTGGAACATAGTTTCGAAACACTGCTTGTGGAATTTATGTTTGGGTCTCACCTTAAGTCTTACACCCTTGCTTCTTTTATATATTCTGTATTCTGTTTTGGATTTCCTTAAAATCAAACAAAAGTCTTCAAAATCGCCTTCTGAAATCATCTCTTTTATTGGACTCTAATTTAACTTTGGCTACAATCTCTGTGGACGATAATCCGRTACTTGTACCACTTTATTACTTGGAAAGACGACGTTGGGCCGTATTGTATACTTGCTTTGTGGCCTAATTTTATTAGTCTAAAGGTGTGAAATATAACCGACCAATATACACTTTTCAAGTCGTGTCATATAAAATAACTAATATGATACTTTATTTTAAAAACGTCATAGAATTTGTTAGGACGCCCAAAGTCATCCTATAAACATAATGTAACTCTTTTAGATAAAACATTTTTCTTGTTTTGTCCTATAAAGAATCATATTAGGACGCTTAGACATTTTAGGCATCCTATAAGATCTAATGTTGTTGTAGCGAAATGCTATAACTAAACATTTTATTTCCACTAAAGTACAACATCAAATGACGGGGTATTTAGATTGATGGATTCATCAACAAAATATCTATTAGTATCATTCATATTCTYCGACATATCAATTTGTTGTTGCTGCAAAAAAGATTTCAATAATTTTCTCTTATTAATTAGATTATTTGTCATCATTCTTTGATCGTAAATCTCTTTTGGTAACCTATACGTTTAGCTAAAATAAAATACAAACATAATATCAATAAAGATTATACATAATAAACATATATATATATATATATATATATACAATTTTATAAAAAATATATATTAGCGGCGGTTGGGCGGGTTGAGCTAGGCCCAACCTAATTTCAACCCTCCTAATTGGCGGGTGGGCGGTTTGGCGGGTGGGCGGTTTAGCGGTTAGGCGGGTTGGGTTTAATTGGGTTGTTAGCGGGTTGGGTTGGGTTGGGCTGGGCGGGTTTTGCGGGTTGACGGTTTTTTGTGCACCCCTAGTCAATGGTGGTTTAGATCGACAGTGCTTTAGATCGGTAGTAGTTGGCGGTGGTTCAGATCGATGGTGGTAGGTGGTGGTTCAGATGACGATGATCGACAGTGGTTCAGATCGGTGGTGGTCCATGGTGGTTCAGATGGCGGTTATCGTCGGAGGTTCAGATTGACGGTGAATCAGATCGATGGTAGTCGGTGGTGGTGGTCGACAATATTTCAGATCAGTGGTAGTTGGTGGTGGTGGTCGACGGTGGTTCAGATCGGTGGTAGTCGGCGGTGGTCGACGATGGTTCAGATCGGTGGTAGTCGGTGGTGGTGGTTAGCGTGGTTTAGATCGGTGGTGGTCCATGGTGGTTCAAATGGTGGTTATCGGTGGTGGTTCAGATTAAGGGTGAATTAGATCAGTGGTGGCTCAGATCGGTGGTGGTTCAGATCGGTGGTAGTCGACGGTGGTGGTGGTCGGCGGTGGTTTAGACTGGTGGTGGTCGGCGGTGGTTCAGATCGATGGTGGTGGTTGGCGGTGGTTCAGATCGTCGGTGGTGGTGGTCGGCGATGGTTCATATCGGTGTGGTGGTCGACGGTGGTTCAGATCGGTGGTGGTGGTCGGCGGTGGTTCAGATCAATAGTGGTCGAGAGGTGGTCGACGATGGTCATATTGAGTTTTATGAGATTATAATATATTAGGTTAAAGGCATATTTGGTATAATGAAGATAGATATTCCATTCTATCAAAATACCATGTAGTTGTTAAGGAATGTTAAAATCCTTTATCCATGGAATTCATAGGAATCTGAAGATTCCTTCCACTGAAAAGAATGAACCAAACGAAGGAAATGAATCTGGTCAAAGGAATTCAACATTCCAATTCCTTCAGATTCCTCCAGAATCTGCAAACCAAACGCCACCTAAGACTTTTAAGACTTTTGCTAAATTTACTTTATAAGATAGTATAGATATAGTACTTATTTGATGTCTGTATTTATACTCATTTAGGTTAGTGTTTGTATACAAATTTAATGTATGTGTTTGATGTGTATTTAATATATATATATATATATATATATGTTTTTCCATATTAAATGTTAATTTTATTGTTATTTGTAATTAAAAAAAATTAATTTTTTTACAAATCAAACAAAAGATATTTTTGTCCTTTTTCATCGTTCTATTTCAGTTCTGTTGCAAACAAAAGACAGATTCTAATTTATTAGACATATCATATTTCATTCATGCCAACCAAACATTTGGTTAAACCTTATAACATTCTATTCTAATTCATCTAAGATTCTAATTTCTTTTATAGATTTCGTTACTTAAGAAATCATTTTGCTGATATTTGGGCTTTTAATTATTAGGGTATCATAATCAAATACCAAAATGCTTATTAAAACAACTTATACTTTTTTGTAAAAGTGCTTATTAACTTATGCGGTATCAAACTGGAGTTTTGTAAAAAGTGTTTGGATTAGCTTATAGCGGTACCAAAATGCAAAATGACCAAAAAAGACAGCTCATTTTTAGGTTATCTTCTACCTATATCAGTTGATACGCAGGTAAAGCATCAGGTATATGAGTTGAAGAAAAAGGGTTCATATTTGAAACCCTAGAATCGTTGGAAGTTGGTGAAGCGAAAGAAGAAGCAGGAAGAAGGAAGAAGGAAGAAGCAGGAAGCGAAGGAAGAAGCAGGAAGCAAAATGCAAAGCGAAGGAAGAATCAGGTATATCTTCTACCCCAAAATGCAAAGCGAAGGAAGAAGCAGGAAGCCGGCGATGAGAAACCAGAGGACTTGCCGGCGATGAGAGGGGAGAGACGGATGCGATGAGAGGAGAGACGGATGCGATGAGAGGGTTAAAAGGGTAATATGTCAAATAAGTCAAGAGGGAGTAACTTATCAAAAACAACTTATTACCGGTTTGGCACCAATATAAGCAGTTTTTTTTTTCACATCCAAACACTCAAAATAACTTATCCGACGGTTGTGAACTGAAATAAGTTGATAATCACCTTAAATAAGCTTTCCCAAACACCCCCCAAATAACCCAAGATTGGGGTTATTTGTCGCTTGTGTATTAATAATCTCATTCTCTTGATCTCAGCAAACCACCTAATCAAGAACCAAGGACATCCTCGTTTCATCGTTTGTTTATTCTGCAGTTTCCATGGAATTACTCATGGAGGAAGAAGAATTAAGAGTTGATGGATTGAGTATGGGTGATTTTGACAGCAATCAGAAAGAGAACTCTGAATTGGCTTCTGATTTTAATGCAATGGATGATAAGAACAATGGGTTTACCCAAGAGAATCAAGCAGAAGATAGTGATGCTGAAGAAGAGTATGACGATGAGGAAGAAGAAGACGCAGAAGAAACATATTCATTGAGATTTGAAGGAGAGACAGATCCCTTGGCTCTCAAAGAGGATGATTCTTTTGGAGTTCAGGCTTACGAGTGTTTGGAACAACCGGGGCATGAGTATGAAGCTTTGGCTGCTAAAAAGCGTAAAGAAAGCCTCAATTACAATCATCTAGGGTAATTACCATCAAATTCTCATTTACAGTTTGTTATTTGGTGAACTATGTGTTCTGTCCGCTATGCGTTTCCAATTCCAATTCAAAAAATCATATTCTCCAATTTCAGATGTTCACAATGATTGTTGTTTTTTCCGATCATGGCGTTGAATTTGGGAAATTAGCTCTTTTTGGCGCCCTAGACAGGCTGATAGCCTGATATATTTGTCCTCAATTTACGAAAGTAAAAGTTTCTCGATTATTGAAATTGAAAGATGAGGAGATTCTATATAATTTCATATTGTTATGATGAACTTCTTTTAACTGGGGAATACAATCTTCAATATGACATGTCAGATGCAAATAGAAGCTAAGCTGGGTTCTTATATTTATTTTATCAAAGAATATAAGTGAATACAAAGTACAGACGCAAGACTCCTGAATAGTCTTTTGCCTTACATAACCATACCATAATACAAAAGGCATGACTTGTTAAGGGATTGCACCTAGATCAAGCAAGATGCCTGTCCATTTATAGGAGCTGGGCACATTTATAGGAGCTGGGCATAGGGATGTGCTCTGGGAGCCTTTAGGTTGCATTTGGTATCTAGACACAAAATAGGACAGAACAAGACGAAACAAGACAAAACAACTAGAACAACCGGAAAAACCGCTTAGCATGTGGTAAGAGAAAACAATGTTGGTAAGACAAAATTGGACAGGACAGAACATATAAATGACCAATTTATCTCTAATGATTTGTTTATATCTTGCATATTTTTCTGATTAATTTATTTAATTTATTAAATTATAATAAAATAAATATATCTATAACAAAATATATCATTAAAATTTTTTAGTCAAGACGATTAAAATGATACCAAAATAAAAAGTTTATGTAATTTTCAATTTTTATTTTAATTTTATTCTTATTAATATTTAATAGATTACATAAATTAACCAAAATATAGAAACCGTATAAACATAATATTTGAGGACAGTACAGTGAAAGTTTGGGGAACATAAAATACAAAAAATTAAAATTTAAAGAATGAATAAAATGTAAAGTGGGAGACGTATTTGATGTTTTAGAAGAGAATTAGGTTTGATATTGAGGTTATATTGGTAAATCATAGTCCCGTTCCATCTTGTTCCATAGGGTGGGGGTGGAACAAGCCTATTCCACTTTCTTCCAGTCTGTTCCATGGGGGTGGAACAGTGATCCATGTTCTATATTTTTTTTTTTGTGCAGTGTACCAAACGCACCCTTATAAGCATGTGGTATATGAAAACTATATATGTTATTGAGTATTCATAAATTGGTCTCTTTCGGGGTTGAAGAGTCTTTCTTTATGCAACCTCTCAAGCGAAGCTTAAGAGTAAGATAGAATTTTTAGTACTGATATGATACATGACGAAAGAAGATATAACATTTAAATTGTTTGTGTCAGAATGCCACCAATAAAGAAGTTGAGACAAGAGGATTATCCTGGACCAAGCTTTGAAGATTTATTGGCAGAAATAACACATGGAAAGAGAAGAAAGTCAAAGAAGGTATGGCATTGTCTAGCCATTTTCTTTCAGGCTTGTTTTCTATTAATGTTCTTTTCATAAAGTGAGAGCTGAAGGTAAAGTTTTATGGAGTTTCATGTACTCATAGAACAGACCCTATTGAGTTTCACCATTTCACATGAGAATAATGTTTTAAAAGGGGGACCGAGTTAGGTAGGCAGTGTTGTGCTTGTTAGCCTAGGTAGGTATCACCCATCCTTCAGTTCACAATAGTACTATATATTCACGTTTCTGTCGAGCAATTCAAAACACTTTGAAAATGCTCTAACCCATAATCCTAAATTATCAAATGTTGTATGAGCCTCATTTTACAACCTGGAAGAAGGCCCGACAGATGCTGCAGACTTTGTTTTATACCACTGACATGTTTTGTCACCATCAACCCCCAATACAACCTGTTTTGACCTCTTGTGCTCCCTGGTAGCCTCACCATGAGTTTATACCACTCTAATCAATAGCTGCAATTGGTAAGGTTCCTTGTCTAATTTGGAAAGTGTTCGTTCCATCTTTGACATGCTTCATTGGTTTCGGTTCATGATCGTAGTTTAATCAGTCAACCTCCATAAACCTTGTGCCTTCCAACCTGCTTGACCCTTCGTAACCTTACCAACTGCTGATGCTACTGTCCATGGTTTATTGTTGCACGAAGACTTAATGTAGATGAAGTATGGCTCTTAATAGCC